CTTTCTTCATTCTTGAATTCATGATTATCAGCTCCCTATTTCCATTGTCCTCCCCTGCCATAACCCTAAGGAGCTTTTTTTTAAGACCCCTATTTCTCTAACCCTTTCTGCACTGCACTATAGCATACCACAACGGCAGTTTCGACATCCTCAAGGGACTCAGTTCATGTCTCTTGTAGATGATCTTTGAATGTGCTTGATAAGCAGATGTCTGGATGGGCAAGTTCACCAGTGGAGATTTCCCAGCACAGCCTTTACTACCCGTAAAGAATGAGCAGATGTGGTGCCGGTTTGGGAAAACCCTCTCCATGCAACTTCCTCAGCCTCTTTCTTACATATGCAGTTTTCAGTTGTCTTTAAACTTCATAATAAGCCCTCCTGGGTCCTTTGAGAAAATCTATGGAGATTACCCACTTTGGAATTTTGAGAGTTAGTATAACCTTCTGAGCTTACCTCTCAGCCTTGAGTTTAACTGACCCCGCAGATCTCTTGGAAGTCCCTGTTTGGATCGGGCTTTGTTTTTGAAGGTCCCTAGGACATGTGTGTTGCATGCTGAGAGAACTTGTCTGCCACCATCCACTAACCACAGAGACATGGGTAAACACATTTTGCCTGGAATAAGCTAATGCATGTCTGAACTGGGCCTGTAGTTGCAATACCTTTTGACTCTCCCAAGCTCCATATTGTCACTGACCACTTTTCCCCCAGTAGAATCTCTGAAAAGGTTGAAGAGTCTTTCTTCCTGAGCAAAAGGCCTCTGGGGCCCACGTCATGAGGACTGTGGAGTTTCAAAACAGATGCTATGCTGGCATACAGATCCTGGCTCTACTCTTACCTGGCTGGGAGCGTGGAATTTAACCTATCTGCCTCCATTTCATTATTTGCAAAACAAGCAAGATAATAGTCCTTATTTCTTGACTGTGAGCATTATATGATGCAATCCATAAACTGCATGGAACTCCACGTGGTATTTAATAGCTATTACTACGTCCTTGGCCACCTTTGAAAACATCAGTCCCCTAGTTTTCACAATCATTGTGCTAAAGCAGGAGAGCTGGCAGGTATGAGCTGTTTATTCCTCAGCACTGTTCTACTTGGGTGTGGATATAAATCTACCCAGTGGGCTGGCTGACAGGTCTGTTTTCGGTGGGGGGAGTTCTGCCCCCTAGAGGACACTTTGGAAATCTGGCGGCGCATCTTTGGTATCAAGACTGCGGCTGGCATTCATTGGCCAGACCTCAACTCAAATAACAATTCCACAAGACATGGGACAGTCCACACAACCAAGACTTGAATTGTTAGTCATTACGGGCCCATTCATGTAGATGGGCAACCTGATTGCATGGTTCCTATACAGAACATACAGTTTACTCTGAAATGAGGCTTCCTACTCCTGTAAAGAGTTACAATCCAGGAAACCCACTGGGGCAGTGCTCCTCTGACGTACGGATTTCTCTGAAACAGTATTGCTTTGACAGCAGTAAGTTTGGATTGGTTGGTGTTCAGAATGCAGTGAGAGTAGAGGAGCAGCAAACTAGACGACCCTCGGCAAAAGGGACGAACACAGGGGCTGCAACAATAAGCTCAAACATAGCAACAGTGAGGAGGATGCAGGGTGGGCAGTTTGTCCTTAGGTTGTGCAGAGGGTTTCTGTGAGTCATAACCGACTGGGTGGCCCCTGACAGCGACAACATCAACATCAATGAGGCTGGTGGTGCTGCCAGGTTGTGCTGCTCACCCCAAGGCCAGTGGTCTGAAGCCAGCAGCTGCTCCTCAGGAGAAAGAAGAGGCTGTCCGCACCTGTGAAGATTGGCAAAGCCTCAGAGACCCCATACCAGGTCACTCTGAGTTGGAATCGACTTGATGGCAGGGGGTTGGTAAGATGCAGTTGAAGGAGCCTCAGTGCTTATGCGCTTGGCTACTAATGGAATGGTTGATGGTTCAAATCCACCAACTGCTCCCTGGGCAGTCTGCATCTGTAAACATGACAGTCTTGGAAGTGTTGTGCATCATGATAAGTCTGAATCGACTTGACAGGAATGAATAATGTACAATGCATTTTCCAGATATATGAGTACCATGTAATTCAAAAGGAAATTAAGGATTGCTTTGTTTGAGGGGGCCCGGGGGAATCTGATGAACAGCAGTGATGTGATTCCTGCTATTAGAGTCAGGGGACTGACAAACCGGCATGGGTCAGTAGTCACATTTCAGAGGTTCGGCTCAAGGAACTTCTGCACTGGAGTCTCTCTTAGATGGGCCCAAGCCAGAAACCTAGAAATATATGACCACAAACCTGTGAGTGCTGGAACACAGTGGGGTGGCCTTGTTTCCCTGGTCCTCGCAACATTCCCCTCTTTGCCCCTGTGCGGTCTTCCCATTTTCTGTCACGTCTCCTAGTAGAAAACGTTCACACTGTCCTTCTCGGACAGGGTCCCCCTTACCTGAGTTCCAAGTTCTGTAGGCTTTATTGATCTTTCCCTTTATATTTTCGCTATTTATACCATTTGAAGAGACCTAGAGAACAGTGATTCAGAGCTTCCCTGATAACCAAAGGGTCAGCAGTTCAAGCCTACCAGCCCCTCTGTGGGAGAAAGAGATGGTTGGCTGTTTCTGCGAAGATTGCAGCTCTCACAGTTCTACTCTGCCCTGTCGGGTCTCTTAGCGTCAACGGGATGGCAGTGCTTCCTGTGATTAGGGGTTATGTGCCATGAGGACACTGTTCGTTTGGCTCGTTGTTTGAATTGCATGCATGGGAAGTTATATGATCTGTGCACTTCATTCTAGAATATTAAAATGCTGCTTCCACGAGGATGCCATCGAATTCTCATGGAACAGTGGGCCAGAGATCAAAGGGCATGCTGCACTGGGGAATCTGCTGCACAGTCTTCTAGAGTGCTGAAAAGCAAGGAGGCTATTGTGAGGACCCAGGTGTGCCTGACCCAAGCCACAGCATCTTCAGCAACCTCATATGCATGTGGAAGTTGGACCTTGAGCAAGGAAGATCAAAGAAGAATCTATGCATTTGAATTTAATTTATACACCAACCACTTAAGCTAGAGATGCAGAAATTGAAGAAATTCTACCAATGGTTTTGGTCAGAAATGTATTAACTATGAAATTAAGATGCATTGTTAAGTGGCAATTGGGATGCAAATGCTGGAAACAATGATGAAGGAACAGCACTTGAAAAATGGGCTCTTATGACAGAAACAAAGCTCAAGATCGCTTTGCAAGACTAACCAACTTCATCACAAATACCTTTTTTCAACAACACAGAAAGCTATCCCTGTGGACTTCTCCAGATGAAATACACAGAAATCAAATTGACTGCATCTGTGGAAAGACAAAATCCTCAATAACAGCAGCTAAAACCAAGCGAAGGGCCAATTGTAGAACAGACCACCAATTGTTCACCTGTAAGTTCAGGTTGAAGCTGAAGGAAATCCAGACAAGTCCACGAGAGCCAAAATAGGACCTTGAATCTGTCACTGAATTTTGAAACCATCTCAAGATCTCAAGAACACTAATGACAGTACACCTGATGAGCTGTGGGAGGACATCAAGACCTCATTCATTAAAAAAGCATGAATGTCATTAAAAAGACACGACAGAAATAAAAGAGCAAAGTGGATGTCAGAAGGGACTCTGAAACTGTCTCTTAATCATAAAGTAGCTAAGGAAAATGGAAGCAATGATGAAGTCAAAGACCCAAATAGAAAATTTCAAAGGGCAGCTCAAGAAGACAAAGTCAAATATTATAATAAAATGTGCAAAACCTAGAGGTACAAAACCAAAAAGAAAGAACGTGCTTGGCATGTCTTACACTGAAAGAATTCAAGAAAATTTCAAGCCTCAATTTGCAATATTGAAAGATTGCGTAGTAATATGGGAAGCATCAAAAGAAGATGGAAAGAATACACAGAGTCAATTTACTACAACGAACTAGTCTACATTCCATTGTTTCAGGAAGTAGCGTATCAGCAAGAACCAATGGTAATGAAGGAAGAAGTTCAATATGCACAGAAAGCATTCACCAAAAACAAGGCCCTGGGAATTGATGGAATATTAATTGAAATGGTTCAACAAACTCATGAAGCACTGGAAGCATGTTCTTGTCTATACCAGGAAATTGGAAAGACAGCTGCATGGCCAACTGACAACAAGATCCAGATCTGTACCCTTTCCAAAGAATGGTAACTCAACAGAATGTTCAAATATAGAACAATATCATTGATATCACATGCAAGTGAAATGTTGCTGAAGATCATCCAACAGAGTTTGCAATAGTATATTGACAGAGAACTGCCAGAGACTCAGGACAGTTTCAGAAGACGTGGAACAAGGGATAACCTTGTTGATATCAGATGGATCTTGGCTGAAAGCAGAAAATACCAGAAGGATGTTTACTTACTTATATTGACTATGCAAAGGCATTCAACTATGTGAATCATAACAGAGTATCGATAGCCTTGAGAATATTCCAACACTTCATTGTCCTCATGTGGAACCTGCACATGGATCAAGAAGTCATAATCTGAACCGAACAAGGGCATCCTGTATGGTTTACAACCAAGAGAGGTGTGTGAATCAGGGTTGTATATTCTTACCATATTTACTCAGTCTGTATGCTGAGCAAATAATCAGAGAAGCTGGATTATAGGAGGAACATCGAGGCATCAGGAATGGAGTAAGTCTTATTACCAACCTGCGATAAGAACACACAAGGTTGCTTGCTGAGAGTGAGGAGGACTTGAAGCACTTGCTCATGGAGATCAAAGATTGCAGCCTTCAGAGTGGATTATGACTCAAGGGACAGAATAGAAAAACCGGACAACCGGACCAAAAGGTAACATCATGATAGAGAGAGAAAAGGTTGAAGTTGTCAAGGATTTTGTCTTGCTTGGATCCACAACCAATGCTCATGGAAACAGGAGTCAAGAGATCAAACGACGTGTTGCCTTGGGTAAATCTGCATATACCCTATTTATTTATTTATTTAAAATATGGAACGCTTCATGAATTTGCATGTCATTCTTGCACAGGGGCCATGCTAATCTTCTCTGTATCCTTCCAATTGCAGAAGCCCTCTTTAAAGTGTTGAAAAGCAAGGGTGCTTTGAGGACTGACTACGGCAGGCCTGACCAAAGCCTAGTATTTTCAATAGCCTCATGAGCATGGGAAAGCTGGACATTGAACTGGGAAGAGCTAAGAAAAATGCATGCAGTTGCATGAGGGAGCTGGTGAAGACTATTGAAAGTACTGCGGCCTGCCAAAAAGAACCAACCAACCTGTCTTGGAAGAAGTACAGTCGGAATGCTCCTGAGAGGCAAGGATGGGGAGAGTTTGTCTCATGTACTTTGAACATGTTGTCAGAAGACACTAGTCCCTGGAGAAAGATCTCGTGCTTGATGAAGTAGAGTGGCATCAGAAAAGAGGCAGCTCCTCCCCAAGATGGACTGACACGGTGCACTCCAAAAAACGGGCTCAAGGCAGTGTTTCATTCCATTGTACATAGTTGCTCTGAGTCGGAACTGACTCGATGCACAGAACAAACACCAAAAGGACGTGCTGGAGAGAGTTCATCAGACACCACAGGACTTAGGACCACTGTCTCAGAAGGAGTCCTGGTGGTACATATGTAAGTTACATGTTGGACTGCTAACTGCAACGTCAGCAATTTGAACCCACTCAGAAACCTGTCGAGGTAGTTCTACTATAGGGTCGCTATCACTGGTAATCCAATCAGTGGCAATGAGTTTGCACTTTGGCTCTTGCCTTAGTGGGAGAGGCTGGGCCTTGTGATCCCGAAATCTCCAGTGAATTCCATGTGCAGCAAGGCATCCAAACCTCAAAGCAGGTGCCCCCGATGGTCGAATCTGTCTTTGCGTATATCCAATAGATTTTCTGAAAAGTAGGTTGATTTTTCTTTTTTCCCGTGAGATAAAAAGATCTTTGTCAATGCCCAGGTGGAATTGTTGAGCATGCATTAGACTGCTAACCTCAAGGTCAACAGTTTAAACCCACCAGCTGTTCTGAAGGACATCGATGAGACTCCCTGCTCTTTCAAAGATGTACAACTTTGGACACCCTATGTGGTTAGTAGGTGCCATTAGATCAGTTCCAACTCATTGTGCAATCGAGTGACCCTGTGCACAACAGAATGAAGGAAACAATCCCTGGTCCTGCGCCATCTGCACAGTGGTTGTTATATGGGAGCCCATTGCTGTAGCCACTGTGTCACTCCATCTCCTATGTGTCCTCCTCCTCACTCCTGTCCACTTTACCAAACACGATGTCCTTTTCCAGGGACTGGCCTTTCCTGATAACACATTCAAAGTATGTGCGAGGAAGTACGAGAACCCTGTATAGGGATTGGGGTTTTTTGTTTGTTTGTTTGTTTTGAGGTTCAGACCTATGTCATAAACAATGTCGAGATTCAAAGCAGATGCCTGAGTACAAATCTTAGCCCTAGTATTAACTAGCGTAGAATGTGGCGAGTTGCTTTCTCTTCTGTGTCTCCATTTTCAAAATGAGAACGATGCTATTTCCCTGCTGGTTGGAAAATGAAATGAGTTAATCCTGTAGATACTTAGCATAGTGGGTGGTTGACTCATAATAAGAGCTCAATCAATGTTAACTGAAACTTATAAAAGGAGTTGCACACAGCAGACACAGAAGCTCTGGTGGTACCCTGGTTAAGTGACTGATTGCTTCCAACCCACCCACCTCTTGTCTGGAGAAAGATGTGGCAGTCTGTTTCCATAATGGTGGGGTAGTGGGATAGTTTTACTCTGCACTAGAAGGCCACTATGCATCAGAATACATTGGAGGGCACTAGGTTTGCTTGGGGGTTGTATGACAACAACTATGAGAATATAAATTCCTCTAAATCTAGGCTCCCAGGTAGCTAATATAAATGGCAGAAGTGGCCAGGTGGGAGAGATCCAGCAAGAATTGGCAGAAGGAAAATATCCCGTCTTCAGAAAGCTAGTCTGGCCTCACTGAAGGGGCGGCCCTGCAATGCCACATTTCTGGACTCTTCAAAGACCTGTCCTGCTCTGTAAGTCTGCATCAGCCAAAGTGTGCCTCAGTCAATTCTGTCCCAGAGTTGTGCAAAACCCACAGGCTGAGGCCTCTAGAAAAATCCTTTTCCTTCTCGGCTTTCATGAGTCCTATAGCTTTTTTTAGAGCAAATTGAAATCACGGTAGAATACTTTTGTTATTGTTTTTTAATCTCAAAACATGAAATGTGTGTTAAAGACATTTTCTTTTATTGATTCACAAGGAATATCATCAAGGAGGTACAAATGAAGTGCTTTGATTTAATATTTCAAACAGACTTCGTGAAAACATAGAATATTCTATTGATTCTCACCCAGCAGGATATATATGCCCAAGGTTGTATATCAGACATGGGATTCAATAGCGTGTTGGACATGTAACGTTCGATGATGGTGGCCAGTAGCTGGACTTGGACTTGGACTAGCATAGTTAGCAGTGACATGAACATTAGTGTGACTTCTAAATAATTAGTAGCTTTCAAGATGGTCAATACATTAAATTACAGATCTTTACATTTGTACATAACTCATTTTACAAATAAATGTTTTAAGACCCACCTGTCCAACTTTCATTTAAACGCAAAATGTTGCTGAACAACAAGTCTGCAAGAATAAATACTCCCTCGGGTGAGTTTGGTGGGGGGGGGGAGTAGGGGTGGTAGAAATGCTTTTACATAGGATGTGTGTAACTATGTATATCTGGACAACTGTTTAAAACATTTAACTTCTCGTGGCCTTTGAAATCTTGTGTCCTGGAAACGCTCTTGCATGTTAAACATAATTTAGTTACTAATTTAAAAAGTAACTATTTCTCCTTCAGTTAATATTATTTATGGCTAGATTGATTCCAAGAGTATAAATAGGTGATTCACAGTCTCCCTCCTTGTACTTAGTAGTTAGCTTTTCAAGTGAATCTTTGATCATAACAATCAGGTATTGCTCTTTGCTTAATTATGTATATATAATCATATAAGGAGCCCTGGTGACATAGTGGTTACTCACTGGGCTTCAAACCACAAGGTCAGCAGTTCAAAACCACCAGTCGCTTCAAGGGAGAAAGACAAGACTTTCTACTCCCATAAAAAGTTACAGTTTAAGAAACTCATAAGGGCAGTTCTACTGTGTCCTCTAAGGTCACTGCGACAGAACGGACTCAATGACAGTGAGGTTTTGAGAATGGTGCATATACGTGTTGTAGGATTAGACATTCAACTATTTATCATGAAGAAAATAAAAAGTGACTTCCGGCCCTTAGCTAAGCTGTACAGCCAAGGAGTCCAACAGAAAAATTTCAGCCTATTTGCTACTTGGCAGCTTCACTGTTGCACATCTTGGGTAAAAGTAGCGGGAGTTGAAACGTAGCTGTCACCACGTTTTCAAAGTCAGAAGGCCATCATCTAACTCCACCATCCTATGATGGAAGCCCCAAGCAGGGTGGGGTATGGGGCACGATTACAAGAAGGTGTAGTGTTTGCCTCACACTTTCCTCCAAGACATTGTTCTGCTACAAGGGACATTCCCTCAGCAGTGCAGGTGCCCTTGACCAGCAGCACTCCACCTGTCTGCCGTCTTGCTATGGAGCAGCCTTGAGACTGTGGCCTGTTAACTGGAGCTGAAGTCTGGGCAGCTCTTCCCGGGCAACGGGGGCTCCTGCTGGAGGGGGTAAGCAAAGTATTGAGGGGACACCAGGAAGCCGGATGGCTGGGTCAGGTGGATTGGGTGAGCGGTGCTGTACGGCGGGGGCGGCGAGGGCACCAGGCAGCCTGGCTCGGCCCTGGCAAAGGAGAACCTACGGATGGAGCCCCCGGTGGAGCTGGAGCTGGTGGCTGTGCTGGACTGCCTGGAAGGTGCCCTGAGGTTCGTGGAGGTCAGGATCATGGGCAGGGTCTCTGTCTGATAGCTGCGGAGCGAGAAGCGGATCGGAGGCTGCGAGGGCTCCTTGGGCCTCAAGCAGGTGCAGCAGTAAATAGCCACCAAAGAGCCCAGGATGATGAATGCGATGAAGATGGAGCCGACGATCAGGAAGGGGACATAGACGGGCTCTAAAAGGCAAAAACAGACACACACAGGTGCTTGCATAAGCGTCTCCTGGACTCAGGGTATGAGGGAAGGAGGGGGACGCCTGGGTACTACCACTACCACTGTCAGCTCAACTTTTCAGAACTTGTGACTGGTAACTTCTAAAGTGCAAACTGTGGACAGAATATTCTGGCTATTCCTAAAGGAGGGGATCCTACGTAGCCTCTGTTAGCAATTAGCCCTGCGTTAGGAAATCTGGAAATCAGCAAAGAACAAATCGATCCTCCAGGCTAAGCTTTGGGTCCCTCTATCTCTGGATCCGGATCCTGGTGGCACAATGATTTAAGCACCAGGTCTCTACATGCAAGGTTGGCACTTCAAATCCTCCAACAGCTCCTCTGGAGAAAGGTGAGGCTGACTGCTCCTGTAAAGATCGGCAGGCTCGGAAACCCTAGAGAGGAGGCCTTCTCTTGCCTGTGTAAATAGGAACTGATTTGACAGCAGTGTGTTTACTATCTCTGGAGGGGGGGGTCTAGCCGCCAGATCAGCACTGGAAGCTCACCAGCTGCACCTTAGGAGAAAGAAGGGGCCAGCTACTTGTACAGAACTTCACAGCCTTGGAGACCCAGGGGTTGGGTCAGCTCTATCCTATCAGGTTCTGAGGAGGTGGAAGCAACGATGGCAGTGAGGTTGGGTGAGACTTTTGTGTTCAAATACACATCTTAGATGTGTCATGGCCGTGGGGCAATCAGGACTTTGACTTCTCTCTTGGGTGGAAAATCCAAGAATTTCCAATCAAACAAAGCGAAGAGGACTGAGCTTGTTCAAAGTGACCCACCACCTGAGGTTTTATGAGACTCTGGAAAGAACGGGATAAAGAAATCCGTAGTGGCCCCACTCTACTTGTGGCCTACCACCCCCCAAATTGTCAGCTTGAAGCCCCTCTCTCCAGAAATGGCCGGAGGTCGTCTTCAGCTTCTACGAAGCCACCTCACCTCACTTAGCACCCAATCGCTGGGAAAGTCAGGCTGCCCTGTGATTTTCCAAATTTTCTGTGAGAATCCCCCTCAGTCAGAGCAAATGCTAGCTTCATCCTTTGTGTGTTTGGGGCCGGGGAGAGGGGGGCAGGACAGGCAAAAAATGCCCCAGCCCAGAGGCCCCCGCGGGCAGTTGCATAAAGCCACGCTTAGCAGCAGAAGAATGAGACCCTACCCTGAGTACGTGCCTACTGTGGCCTGGAGACCCAGTGGGAAGGCCACGATAGACTCTAAATTAGAAGCCAGTTTGACCTCCCTCAAGATGCACAGCCAGCTATAAGGTGGGCAGCTACCCACGCCTGACTGAGTTCCACCCACTCCGACGTGTGAGCTCTTCCTTGCCCCTGTGGTGAGTAGCTCCGGGGTGGAAGGCAAGGACAAAGGGGTGGGTCCACTTACTGAGCACTGTTAAACACCCGTCTGCTCTCAATGGGTCCCCAGCCTAACTCCTGTGAGCGAAATATTCCCATTTGGGGACTGGAGATGAGGTCCAGAGTAGCTAAAGTAACCTGTCCCCAAGGTCACACAGCTAGCAGCTAACAGTGGCCTTTCCTCCAGGTTTCCAAGGTCCCACTAGCGCACTAACTGCCTGTCTGAACAGCAGAGTGAGGCCCAGGGAGGAGGCATCGCCTGCTGTAAGGACAATTAGCTCTGGCACCTGACAGGCTGGAAAGAAGTAGGTGCCCAGGGCTCCCTCACTGCCATCTAAGCTATCTGGACCCATGGCAACCCCAAGGGCCTATCTTTTTGATACAGGTGCTAGACAGTGCCCTACTGTCCACTGCACATCTTTTCTCCGGAAACTACCTCTCAAGGGCTCTAGGTAAGTTGACACTCGAAGTTAAATTCCTTGAGTCTGTTGGGGTTTTCATGGAGAGCGGACCCTTCTTTCCTGGGTTACCTGTCTCCTGGCAGAGGTAGCATAGGGTGAGGCACTTGGGCACCGGTAACAATGTTCTCCCCAGCCACTCCTGCAGACCTCAAATCGCTGCCATCTTCAAACCTCCGCTCTAGGGGCCTGGCCGTCACCGGCTCTCAGCATCTCGGGTTTCCAGGCCGTAAACCATCGCAGGGAGCTCTAAAGCGTTTCCCTGATGTTCCGAAGCAAGTGAAAAACTTTTTTTTTCTTTTTAAGTGTAAAGTTCCTCTGCCGGGGCTGTGATTTATGCCGCTCCGAAGTGAGCGGAAATTTGACCTGTGTTTTCCGACGTGAGAATAGGGGGCGGGGAAGCCCCTGTGACCCCCGGGTTTCTAAATCTCCACCTCGGAGACGGGTATTTCTGAAAGGCGTGACAAGAGGGGGTGGGCCCGGAGACGGTAATTCGATGCAGAGAAGTGAAAGGAAGTCAAAAGAATGGGACTGCTGCCTAATAATAATTTTTAAAGTGGCTGGAGTTCCCTAGTCCCAGGCTTGGGACGTGCGCGCCGCTAAAGGAGCGTGCCCGCGCTATCCCCACGCTCCGAAGCTCCAGGTGTGACCAAGGCGTGAAGTGGGGTGCCTTCGTTGCCCCCTAAAAGCGCCAAACCCAGCCTGACGCTGTCCCTAGCTCTTCTGGGCACCTCCTGGGTGCCCGGGTGTTACAACTCTCCTCCCTCAGGACCACCCGGTGCCAGCCCCACGGACCCTCTGAATTTGTAAATTTCCCACGAAACAAACCACTGAGCCAGCGCGCGGCGGCGGCAAACCAACTGCAAGACCGAAGGTCTGGCCCCCTCCCCCCGGGACCCAGCGCGCACCTGCCCGCTCCCCGCGGCGGCGCCCACTTGGCGCACCGGGCTGGGAGGCCGGGCGGGGGTGGGTGCAGAGGGCCCCGCACTTACGCGCCGTGATGCCGGGGTGCTCCAACTCGCCGCGGTCGTTGGTGCAGCCGCCCTGCTCCAGCCGGGCGTCCGCGGCGGCGCAGCAGTAGCGCAGCGCGCAGGAACCGCAGCAGATGGTGGCGTCCAGCGTGTCGAAGTCCTCGGGACACTGGAAGCCCTCGTGGTAGTTGCCCTGCACGTCCACCCAGCCGTGGCAGTACTCGCCCGCCTGCTGGGCGCCCGCCGGGCCCCCGCGCAGCCAGCCCAGGAGGAGGCAGAGCGCCAGCAGCGGCCCCATGGCCGCCGGGCGCCCTGGGCGGCGGAGAGAGCGACGCGGCCGCAGAGCGAAAGGCTGAGCGGGGCGCGAGGGGGCCGGCCACGCCGCGGGGCCACCTCCCCGGGCGGTCAAGGCCACGCCCGAGGGGCTCAGCAGGGGTCGGGCGCGCTTCGCAAGCCCGGGGTCAGCATGGCGCGCGGGGCAGGCTGGTGCGGGCGCCGGGGTCCCGCGGGAGGCGCCGGGGGAGACAGCTGCGGGGGCTCATCGCGCGCGCGACGCGACGGCTGCTCCGAACCCCGAGCCGCCGTCCTCTCCACGCCTCGCCAGAGGCATCGCGCCCGGAGGTGGCAACTCCAGGACCGCGGAGCGCCCCGCCTGGTGGCGGTCGCCGGGTCGCGAGCGGCGCCTCGGGGAGGGGAGGAGACTGGCTTGCCCACGTGCGGGTCCCGGGGAGGAGCGGTCGCTCGGTCTCGGCCGTCTGTCTGTCACCGGAGCAGGAGTCAGTCCCGCCGCGGCCAAGTACAAACGGCCTCTCGGAGGCTGACAGCCCCGCCTGGAAGGCGTCTTTTAAAAAGGCCGAGGAAGGGGGAGGCGGCGAGGGTTAAGCAAGAGTCCGCCCTCCCGGGGCGCGCCGCCGCCGGAGGGAATCAGCGCGCCTTGGCGATTCCTTGGCACTTTCGGGTTCACGCAGCGTCGTCGCCTCTCCCGGGCCCCCCTCCCCGCCCCGCCCACCGCGCTCTCCAGAACGTGACACTAATTAACCGGGAGGGGACCAGATCTCACACACACACACACACACACACACACACATTCCTGTCCAACTGTCGCACAGCTTAGAAAACTCCGTAGGGCCCAGGGACCAGATACCATCACACACACACACACACACACACACACACACACACTCACTCACTCACTCCTGTCCAACTGTCGCACAGCCTAGAAAACTCCGTAGAGGCCGGGAGAGGGCAGCAGGGTTTCTGCGTCCCTCCACGCGCACGCGGCAACGCGCCAAGGCGCACATTTTCCTTTTTCATCGTTACAATTTAAAAAAAGAGAACGAACGGTGGCTGGGGTTTGTCCAATCGTTCATCGCCAGTTGCTGACATTCAGACTCGTTCCCCGGACCCCCGGTTCAGGACGGATGAGATTTGTAAGGGGCGCCAAATGTGGCATTGAACTTGTCACTTACGTGCGCGCAGTTTTGGAGGGCGGGGTGGGAGGACGGCCCTTTTACACAAACGTGCACAGGCTCGCGCCGTTGCGTGTCCCCCAAACTGCGCGCCTCCGCCACGGGGTGAAGAATCACCGCGGGGCTCCCACCAGCCCACAGAACATCAAACACCACGACTTCTCCAGCCAAAGAAAGGGAAGAACAAAATGGATGATAATCGAGCCCATCTGAACTTCAGTTCGGGCAAAAAAACAGATTTGTCTAAACGATGTGTCCCCTGCGTGCTGTGCCCAGGGGGCCCGGCTCCTAAACCAGCGATGTCAGGGCTCTAAGAAACCGGTGCGAAGTGGAACGGGGCTTTGGTTTTTACTGCATCCTCGACTTCCTCTCGCCGTGTTTATTGGTGTGTGTGACTATGTCCGGGCGCATCTCGACCCATTTGTCAAACCCGCTGAATGCTCGTGTCACTGATTTAGATAACTGGGCAAGTTGGGTGAAAACAAAGGAACAAAGTGCGCTGGTCACAGCGTTGATCACACTGCAGTTCCCGATTGCCTGCCCGACTCCATTCTAGAGAAGTGTGGGTTAGACAAACCAAACCCAAACAGAACCTCTTACGAACGCCAAAACGGCTTCTTTTAAAAAATATAAATTGAAATATACTCCAAGTAAAGATAAACATCTAACCTCTCATTTTAAATATTTGGGATTAGTATTTAGTTAAGAGAATGTAAAAGCAATGTTCAACAATTCACAGGGTGCCCAGGGCTTGTGTAAATATTGAATTCTTATGCTCTTCAAGAAATAGATATTTCTTTAGGCCGCTTAGTAAAACCAAATTAAGGTCAGGCATTTGTCCACAAAGGGATGTTTTTAGTTAGTTAGTTTGTTTGTCTTCAACCTGGGTGCAAAGAAATTAAGCACACGGAAAACAGCAGACATTTCTTAGGGGCGGCGGTTTATATTTTTGGAAGTGTTCTTGCCACACTGAAAGGTTTGCTGTTGTTTTGTTTTAAAAGAGTGTAGGTGTTATTGTAAATATGTTTTATTGTAAACCTGCCCTGGGAAAGAAAAGGGAAAAGTCATTTAGGAGCCACAGTCATTGTGCCGTTATAATAAGACGGTAAAACTACAAAGACATGTTTACTGCTAATAACGTTCCCAGAGCCACACCTCAATATTATTTTTGTTAAATTTTAAAGGAATTACATCATAATTGCATAAAGATCTGCAGCAGCAACAGCGACTCTGGCTGGTCCCCCAAGGGTCAAGTTACTCTCTCATTATCCAGCTGTTCTTTGATAGCATTAATATTTTAAGGAGTGATTTGTTGGCGCTTTCCTCCCATTAATTACATTCTCCATGCCACAGTGGGGTTCTTTTCCTCGGGACACCATCTCTAATTAATTCCTTCATTCAAAGCCCCTGTCTATTGGACTTATTTAGAGGGCATTTCGCTCAAATCTAGCTGGGTGATATTTACTAATGGAAAATAACCAAGCCTCCAAACTGCTTGATACTCTATAGGCCTGACATGTGTGAACATTACAATAAACAGTTCAGCCTGCTTTCGTACCTAGATCCTGATACACACAGTGCCTCTAAAACCCCATCACAGTGATTCCACAGCGTTTGCACTAGGGGAGGATAGGTTTAGTTTCTTGTCTGCAAGTGACCTTCACTTTACATTGACCAAATTTCATTTCCAAAGTGATTCTGAGAATAGTCTTTGCCAAAAGAAAGGGAATCTTGGACCTACTTTTCTGTTTCTAAGTCTCCAAAGTTTCTGTTGTGATTGCTCAATTCCTAAGAAAAGAAGACTTAAAAGTTCTTGTCGATCTTTCCCCTCAAAGACTTGCAGGGAGGGAAGGACGTGGAGATGGAAAATACAATCTACAACCTCTGGGTATCATGGGTTTTAGAAATTCTCTATTTCTTCTTATCTCACTCACACAAGTTCCATATTTTGGGGACACAAATTCATTTCTCCAAGCCTACAATTCTCTTGTGGCCCACACTCTAGGAATTTCTGTAGGAAATGAGTTCAATGATACAGATGTCTGGGATTTGCTTTAATAAGCACCAGTTTAAAATACTTTTTAAAATGTGAAGATGGGGAGAAATGAAGAGCGGGAATCGAGGAAACTTCATTGACAACACGCTCATGCTCGGTGTGGATGGGTGACAGTGTTTGGAAAATCAACATGCAGTCTGTTTTTCTGTGTGAATAAAACCACACTCTCTCTCACACACACACACACACACACACACACAATTAAGGTGCTGGACCACCCCAGTCCCCACCCCCGCTCTTTCTTTCATAGTCTCTGGAGCAGAGGAAGAGAGTGAGAGATTAGAAGCAAGCAAAACCAGAAGTGAAGGAAAACAGGAGAAGCAGATCTCAGAAAAAGTCAAGAACTGAAAAGATACACAGAAAAGGGGGTGAGAAGACGACCGAAAGAAATGTAGAAGTAAAACAAAGCCAACCAAGCAAGAAAGGACGAGTCAGTTTGGCTCTGGAAGTCCCCTCCAGTCCAAAGTAAAATAGAAAACAAAACAAAACAAAAATGTTCAAGCTTTTCTCAAGCTCCTTCCTGAGAATGATTTATTATCACTTACCTTCCTTTAATTACTTAGCTCATGACTTACTGGAATTCTCTTCCTTGGATCACTCACTATAAATCTCTTATTCCAGGCCCCTGTCAATTTGAGTTACTCAGAAGGTATTTTTCCTCAAATTTGCTTTGGCACATATTCACCACTTGAGAATACAAGGTGCCCCTAAGTACAATCTCAGAGTCAGACAACTCCAAGCCATGTCCCCCACCCCCACCTCCTGTGCTGTGCTTAGCTGGCCTCAGTCTCCTCAGCTATAAAAAGAAGGGATTAGACTTGGGTCCCTTAGAGCAATGTTTCTCAAGCCATAACACTGTGAGCACGGATCACCTAGGGATCTTGTGAAAATGCGGTGTTTTATTCACAGGGCCCTGGATGTGGCCTGAGAGTCTGCATTGCTAACAAGTTTCCAGCTGCTGCTGCTGCAATTGGTCTGAGTACTAGACTGTGTCCCATTAGCCTGCCTCTGTCTTTCTACAGCCAAAGAGATAAGCCCACCCAAAGCTCATTCCCTCTCTTTCTAGCCTTCTCCCCGGGGACCTGGGATCCCAGATCGGGGACCTGGGATCCCAGATCGCCTCACTCAAACAGGTCAGTTTACCTGTGGGGTTTGCCCGAGTCTGTTCCTTGTCAGAGTAGGCATTGCCTTCAAGTCGATTGTAACTCGTAGCCAAGCCTGTGGGACGTCATAGGACTTCTCCCTATGACTTTCTGAGACTAAATCTTTTTTTTTTTTTTTTTTATGGGACCAGAAAGCTTCATCTTTCTCTTGGTTAGCAGAACCAGGGGGAGCCTGGGCCTGGCCATAGGTTCCTAATTGGACAGTTTTGACCTAGTTTCTATGCAGCCCTTGGTGACTAAGTCTGTGTGCTATAGACTACTGGGACTTTAGACTCTGTTCTTCTGAGATGCACACCATCCTTCGTCAGCCCCACTGGAAGGACTCGATGCGGAAGCCCCACTATGTGAATGGGCTTTACCTCAAACTCACCTGTTGGACTTCAGGCTGAAACTCTCTAGTATGAGAAGAAGCAAATGATGACTAGCCTGAGAGCATAGAACTGACAGAAGTTGGACTTTGGGTCAAACTTCTTGCCTTAAGGGTGCCCAATGCATGGTGGCCCAGAACTACCATATACTTACTCTCAATGTTTCATTATGACATATCTTAATCTGGTAGCCTTGGCTCTGCTGTTGTGAAAGAATATTATTAGAAGCGTTGCTGTATCAC